ACGGCTAGCGCAGATAGCCCTCGTGTAGCTTTGCGCGAAATACAAAAACAAAAGAAAACAAACAATTTTCCAACTTCAGGAAAATCTGCTTGGATTTCACATTTCGCAGTGCATGCTGGTCGAAGATCAGCTCTTTCAGGGTGATACAAAAAAAAATTAATTGCGCCACCTTTATATTTCTTTACCACCCTGGGGAATTTAACTTTTACGTCGTCCCCCGGTGAGGCAGCGGTAAGTTTACGAACTTAAAACGCTGAAATCCGAGGTTCGATTCCTCGTGGTGAACACAGCAGATAGTCCAATATGACTTTTCTGTAAAAAAAAAAAAAGACTATCTTTTTGGGCAGCCTTTAATTTGATGTTATTGTTACGTTTCTCCATAATTTCTGCCATTTTGATATTCTGTAAATTAATAATGAACGTGAAATAAATGCCGGGCCTCCAGTGGTTGAGAATTACTGGGTCATTAGAACAGAAGGAAAAAAATCACACTTCAAAGCTGATTCATAACTTTATTTTGGTGCAAAAGTCTATCACAAAACACATCACGTACAAAAAACTTTATATATTTGCTAAGAAAAGTACAAAATACCGTGTATACTTAACTCTAAAAATAGATACTTTTATAAAAACTGAACTAGGAATATAGAAAAAAATGATCCAAACATTATATGTAAATATATACAACAACAAATCTTCTTAAAAGGTTAATCCTACAGAGCTAATATGAAAATGCCGGCCAGGTGGTTAAGGTCGCAGGTTCGAATCTCCGTCACACCAAACATGCTCGCCCTTTCAGCCGTGGGGGCGTTATAATGTGACGGTCAATCCCACTATTCGTTTGTAAAAGAGTAGCCCAAGAGTTAGCGGTGGGTGGTGATGACTAGCTGCATTCCCTCTAGTCTTACACTGTTAAATTAGGGACGGCTAGCGCAGATAGCCCTCGTGTAGCTTTGCACGAAATTCAAAAACGAACAAACCTCAACCACTGGTCCACAGATATTGGGTGGGTGGGGAGGGGGGTTGAGGAGAGAGAAAAGAAATATTTAGTAACGGATAATTAAAGTTATGTGTAATTCTCTTTAATTAAATATTCTTGTTATTGAAATTATGAATCCTGTTAAACCTATCTAGATCTATTTACGTTTTATCTATTTGACATCTTGGTGCAGCATTTCTAATGGTCTTTAAACACGTGTTTTACTGGTCCTTTCACGGACTGTAGTGCGCATGTTCAGAAAACGGATTTCAGTAATTCGATAGAAAGGTGAACATTTGAAAATTAAATTAATCTTAAGGTGGAAATCGTTTTAACACGCGAAGTGCACCGAATAACACATTGTCCTGTGTTACTGTTTAAGGTGCCGCATGAACCTGCCGGAGAGGGGGGTCCAGCAATGTTTTCGAATATCTCATTCGTGTATGAATATATCTCGGTAATGAAGAAAACGAGGGGGCATTCAGATAGAATTAACACTAAGCTTTCTTGTTGTGCAACTATTTTTGAAATTCATTAAAATCAATTGTTGGAATTAGACCTGATTTTTTGTTTTTTTTGTTTATGTGTGAAAATAAGTAATCATTCCTACTGTTAACAAGATCATGTTCATTAGCATAGAGCTATCCAGTTACATATTTTAATTCCCTTGGGGTGTGTGTGTTGTTGTTTCAGTTTGGTGAGGTTACAGCCCCTGAGAAGATGATCCAAATAACAGAATGAATATTTCTTGCTAATGTGTTCCAAAGATATAGTACTATGGTCTTGTCCGTAAAGGTCAAGCTGACCATAGTGGGGGATCAAGTTATAGGACTAAATTTGAGTGTATTTTAAACATCAAGGGTGACGTTTCCTGTGGAGAATGTTACATTCTTAAATGTTATACTCGGCGACCATGGAAGGTCAAAATCAATATTCGTCCCCCAGAGAGTCAAAGGTAAGTTGACGAATTCACAATGCTAAAATCCTGGGTTCGATTCCTTGTGATAGACAGAGCATAGATGTCATACTGTGTAGCGCTAAAACAAACAAATTATCAACTTTCAGAGAGAATGAATGAGAATACTGGAAAACAAAATACAGTATGTTGTAACTAAGATAAGCAAAATAGGAGGACAGTATTCGTACAGAAGGACATTGGTCACATCACTAGAGGAATATCTTATGGTATTCGTACAGAAGAACGCTGGTCACATCACTAGAGGAATTATCTTCTGGTATTCGTACAGAAGGACATTGGTCACATCACTAGAGGAATATCTTCTGGTATTCGTACAGAAGAACGCTGGTCACACCACTAGAGGAATTATCTTCTGGTATTCGTACAGAAGAACGCTGGTCACATCACTAGAGGAATATCTTATGGTATTCGTACAGAATGACATTGGTCACATCACTAGAGGAATATCTTCTATATTCGCACAGAAGGACATTGGTCACATCACTAGAGGAATATCTTCTGGTATTCGTACAGAAGAACATTGGTCACATCATTAGAGGAATTATCTTCCAACTGAAAAATGCGAAAATGATTTTTTGAACGAGGTAACACTAACAATAGAGTTGTCGTTGGGATCCAGACCCTATCGGCTTTTTTAAATAAATATTTCTAAATTATTATGCAAAGTATAATTAATTGTTCGTGGGTTCATGGCATTGGTTAAATGCCTCCTAATAACATACGAATCATACAAAAATGTAAAGTACCATCAACCTTGAATTCCATTAATTACTGCTACTTTTTATATTTTACATGGAGAGTGAGGGATTTTTACCCAATTTACAGTGAACGGTGTAACACTTCAAAACATAATACTACACACTGTATATTACCATATGTGGTCTCTACCGGTAATGAACCATATGATGGTTAAATACATGGTTAATCTGGTCAACACTTTGTGGTTACTGTTATCTGTTTTTCAGAGTTGACATCTTATTTTCTCACCAAGAAGCGGAAATGTGATCACAAGTCGAATTTTGCCACATGGGGCCCCGGCATGGCCAGGTGGTTAGGGCGCTCGACTCGCAATCTGAAGGTCGCGGGTTCGAATCCCCGTCCCACCAAACATGCTCGCCCTTTCAGCCGTGGGGGCGTTATAATGTGACGGCCAATCCCA